CCTTGTATCCTTATGTTCCATAAAATACCCCCCTAGGTGTTTCTTTCGCTTGTATGCAGTTTCTCTCTCATCTGTCAGTATCTGCAGTCTGAGTTGAATTGGATTCCAGATTTTGTTAGGTGATTATTCAATCTACAGTGACCGCTTAGTAGTTCAGTAATAATTATTATGTTATTCTTTGTTTGTTCTTAGTTCCTAAAAGCACTTTAGATTGTGATAGTCTCGGTAGGTCTTTCCAATAGAGTTCTTCTTCCTTTTCCTCTGCGCCATTCATAAAAAGCAATAGAATTTCTTTGCCTAGGTCGCAGAAAGATTCTGGGCCTATCATTATTAAAGCCGTGTCTATGCTTACGAGTTTGTCTGCTATTTCATTGCTTTGGATTTCAGCAGTCCCAAGAATCCATATTAAGTACACCCGATTGTTTTACCCACGTATGTTCAGCTTGTCAATGCACTCCCATACCAGTTTGGATATCACCTGATAGGACATGAGTGTCATTAAAGCTGCTTGGCTGTCAGTCAGTATTGTAATTCTACGATTCCGGTAGTTGCGTTAAAGGTTGAAGCATGCGCATCTATCTAACGCGTATATTTCCCCTTAAAAGATGGTTACATTTATTCCTAAAGCTTCCGAGTATCTTTTGCCTAGTCCATATACACCAGATCCAGTTCCGTCTGTGTATCACCTTTTTCTTCATTATTTGGTTTTTAGGCAAGCCTTCCCAATTCTGTTTAGTTTTGAAGTTTTTTTTAAGGTTATAATTTAAGTATATCCTGTTTGTTGGCATTTCAGCTTTTGGGATTTGTTTAGCCAGAATATTAAGTTTCTCACTATTGGGCCTATGACCTGTCATCTTGTTTGTAATTACTTCTAGAACAGCCCTCTTCGCCTGTGAATGCACATGGATGTGTAGAGGTGTGAGTTCTAAAAATATTTTCGTTGATGATGTAGGACATGTTCGCATTGTTATACTTACACACGCTAGTCTCTGAAACTTGTTGAGTGTTTTGGTGACATTTTGCTGTTTTGTACACTATTGATCTCCCAGAATTTTCGCATCAGGTAACCAAGTTAAACAGCTTAAGTCATTTGTCACCATAATTTGGTGAATTTAGACGTGGACAAGTGTGATATACATTAATATGATTATTTCAGAAAATGGACTCTTAGCATATAGATCACAATAAGCCATTTTAATTTGCTGCGAGTATTATTTATTCTATTAGAAGTAAGTTTCTCTACTTATTTCTTCGTATATTTGCATTTGAATAATGAAATAATGAAGAACTACACTCAGCAGCATAAAAAATCTGTCTTCTCTCAACGTATTAAGTACATTGTTTAAGTAAAACTACTTATTTAAAAATAAAAAGTGATGAAAATATGAAATGTTTTGTTACATGAAAAACTTACGAAACATTTTTCAATTGTATTCAATTTAACAAAGAAGTTTTATTCTCTGAGAAGTCTTTGCTTGGAACATGGGAACTCCAACATGTGAAATAGTTAAAAGCAGAATATTAGTTTGAATAGGTAAGAATGAAATTTTTAATAGCATTAAGAGAACACAACTAAAAATGCGGCTTAAGTTCACCAGGAAATAAAAATTTCTTTTGTGAAAAACTGAAAACTTCTCATAAAAATGAAAAATACTTTTTCTGCGCTAACAAATAGTGCGGCTTAAAAAGTTCTTTAATTAGCAGATGCGAACATTACCAGCTATTGAAGTTCTAAGTCAGCAACAATTGTTAATAGTGCAAGTATTAGTGACACTTGACTTGCTCAAGTCAAGTCTAAATCTTATTAAAATATCATTTCAAAACAGTGTATAAATGCGGAAAGTATAATACCTCCAGCTCAAAAAGTACTCGGATTTTGTAAATAAAACACACAAATATAAATTTTATTCCAAATTTATTTTATCTCCTTCAAAATATGCTCCTTCTGAAGTGATACATATATGCCAACGCTTAACCCAATTTTCCATACATTTTTCGTAGACCCGTGAAGGTATGGGTTTTAGTTTCTTCAGCGAATTCTCTTTTACCGATTTAATCGACTCAAAACGCTTACCACGAAGGGGCAATTTGAGTTTCGGGAACAGGAAAAAGTCGTACGGCGCCAGATCTGGCGAATATGGTGCCTGAACGATGACAGTGGTAAGTGTTTGATGAGATGCCGTTCAAATTTGTATCATATGTCAAGAAAGAGTGTACCAACATAACAAAATAGTTTTTGAAAAAGGTCTATTACGTAAGGAGTAGTAACAAACAACAAAATCCGGATACTTTTTGAGCCGAAGGTAAATGGAAGTCATGTGAGTATACGGGTATGCATAGAAAGCTATATACATACGAAGTGAATATATGCGATGTTTCACTGTTGTTCTAGATCTGTCAAGATCCGTCCTTAATTATGAGAAAAAAAAATTAGCTTTAAAATTATATTTTTCTGCTTTTTGTTATCACTTTTGAGTATTACGTTATAAGTGATATACGTATATAAATAACTTTCTGGTAGTGATAACTAGTGAATTCTGTTTTGTTTTGAGTTTTATGTAGATATTAATATAGTAAGTAATTGAGGAATGCCCTGTCAAATTTGAAGCTCAGAGTCAGTGTTCATTATCGAAATGACCCAAAATCGTAGTTGAGCTATATGTTTTAACTTAGAGTTTTGTTAATTTACTGTGAAAATTCCTTATTGAATTCATTTATCGTGTTCTATTCTAATGGAAACGAAATCATAAACCAACTGAAGAATAATTATATTAATTAATTATATTTTTATTTTTAATACCTAAATTTCATTATGAATTTCATTCCATTAATATTAGCATTATGTGTAATAATGAAAATGTTAATCCTTTAAAACAATTTCTAACACTCTTCGGATTCGGATACTCTATTTTCTTTTCTAACTGTACGCCAACGGCAATTTTCGATTGGAAACTCCCGTTGGTAGGGATAGCAAAATGTGAGCTAATGGCTGAAGATCAAGTATGCACCTATAAAACTTGCTTAGTAACGAGAGCTAATTTCAACAATTTTCTTGCAAATAATTTCTATAACATAGTCTTAACTGCAATTATCCAAGAGATATGATATTGGTTAAAACTATAATGAGGTTTGTATTTATAACATATATATTGAAATATTTTCTCCAGAGATATAATTATCAAATCAAATATTAAGTTTTTCTGGTCTCTCTTTGCACTTGATTACTGAAATCGGGTTCCATCCGCTACAGGCGGCTGCAATTTTCCATTTTCATTCCTAAGAGGGGGTTTTAGTGGGTTCAAGTCTCACACTGCGATCATCGATACTTTCCACCTACAAAACCCTTTCGTTTTGATTAATTCTTCTTGAAATGAAAATTGTTTTCTAATGTGTTTATTTTTCACCATTCGAAGTCGGTCATTATTTAGTCTATTCACATTCGAAGATTGTGCAACAGAACAAGCATTTTTCGCATATTCGAATGTTCAAATAGTCAGAACAGTTTAGACCCTAAAAGCATGATGTCGAAGGATGTTTGAGTGGAACATTTAAAGAAGTGTCAATTTATTGACAATAAAATTAAGCATTTGAAATAATGATATTATATGGCACTGCTTTTGCTTAAAAAGATCGTTGAGGCATATCTTCGTAAAATGTGAAGAATGCTTAATTTCATTAATTGCATTATTCGAATCAAGCGGGAAAACATATAGCATATTGCAGAGTAATTACAGTAATGAAGTGACTTTATTAGTTTTTAATTTAAATATTATAGTAATAAAAAATTAATAATCTCAATTAATCCAATCAATTCAATTAGAATGATTTACAATGAAATTGCTATATTATGCCAACATTGCGGTCGTTCTGGGAAGTATTTTATGTTATGATTGCGTGTTTAATCTGTGGTCGTATTTTATTAGGGGATTTATTTGACAATTGCTGATTGCGAATTTTCATTGCTGTGAACCAAATCGAAATGTTGTAATCACAAAAAACAGAAAAAAAAATGCTCAACATACGGTGATTAAAGTAATACTTTATTCCTCAAATCCATTTGGATTGATTTTGCTCTATTAAAATTTTATATCAAGTCTTTGAACAGAACTTCGTGAACTAAAACAATAATACACTGATTACCTCTAATAACTGCTCGGTTAACAAACTCTTCTAAAAAGGTATGGATTGGATCATCAAACTATACCTATGAACAGGAAGTTTGTATTTTAGAGTATAGCTTTGACAACTGCTATTTAGAGTAGTCGATCAATAAAGTTTAAAGTTGACTAATCAATTTAACAGAATAGAAAGGTTGGACTTTAAACTATAACTTCTTGCAATCAGATAACTTTTCATGTACCTCAATTAACCATTTTTCGCCGTTTTGCCACTACATCCCTCGTAAGAACCCTTAAGATAAAAGAATATAGACTACATCCATCTCGTCCAATATTGATAATTTAATAGTTCTATTGTCATTACCGATAAACAGTCTGGTAAACTGTCAAAAAAATATCCACCTAAAAACTTATTTCTTGATATTAATTACTTTAATGAAAGTATTTTTTTGCTTTAAACGGAAGACATCTGTATTATACCAGTTGAGAATTGCTTCCCTTGACTTAAGGCAGTATGTATTATTTTGGATATAGCATTAGCAAATAATTGGCTTCAGTTGGCTTGGCTATCTTTGCTATCTCACGTTTATTATTTTTGGAACCAATTATGATTTACATAAGGAATGTAAGTTTAATGCAATAATCATTTCTTAAAAATGACATAATTTTTTCTAACTCGACTAGAGCAAATTTAAATAATATTAGCAAAAATAGCAGTTTCAATATTTTATTTCGAATTTATTTTAATATTTTACACACACATATAAAATCATAGATATTTTTCTTCGCACATTTTAATGAAATTTTTATCTTTTTATAATAATTAATATTTTGAGAACAGTTATATATATATACAATAATGTTTTTCATAGCATTTTTTAATATCATTGTCTTAAAAATCCAAAATATATTCTTCCACAAGAAGTAAATAGTTTTCTATTTTTAGTTTGTCACATTTAAAGAATATCAATCCAAGTCCGAAATATATTTGATTAGAGCCAATAAAAACTTTAATATTTCTAATTTAGTCCATCAAGAAATGTATGTCAAAGTTGAAGTGCATCATCTTCACAAAACAAATAATTTATTTAAATGTATAGTATCTAATCTCCAATTATTTATACTTTAGAAGCCCTGCAATGGAAGATTTTATTTTAATTCTACTAATGCCACGAATGGACCTACCCACATATCCACATATCCACATTTTTTTTTCTACAATAATATCCATTAATTCATATTGATTTTCAACTAAAGGAGCCTTTGTGGTGTTCTATTTCTGAAACGATTTGTTGGTGCATAGACTCTTTTAATCAAATATATAATATATATTTTTATCCATATTTATTTATTAACATTTTAATTTTAATGCTTTAATATCAACTTACTTGTTATTTTTTAATATAGAATATAGAAGAGTTTAAAAAAGTCCCATGTTTTTGTGTGAAAGTCGGCATTTAGTATTATCTTGAGTTTATGCATATATAACTAAGGTATATATGCATAATGGAAAGGTTTCTTTTTATTGTTGTGTGAGTAACTTAAATCGAAAAAAATTGTTTTTAAATAGTCTCAATCAAAGAATAAAATAATTATTAACTAAACTTACGTGTATTTGGTTGTAATATTCTTCAGCTTCGCGCTCAAGGCGTTCGATGGTCTCTACGCGTTGCTCCACTCTTTCCATTACCATCCAAATAAATTCTATTGGCCGATATATGCTCTTAAATATCTTTGTGATTGGCTCTACGATAAACACCTTTAATGTCAAAATAGCTAACTCTGCGAAAATTATTTATTATTATTTATTGCCTCATTTACTATGGAAACGAAGTTGTTACCTTTCAACGCACTAAAAAAGTACTTTTTAGGTTGGGTTAATTTAATAATTTCTGTTAAGCGTTCCTCTGTAAAGATCGGCCGACTTGCAGGAATAATCCTCAAACTTCCAGCATCACCAGATAGTTCCCTATGCATAGGAAAGGTTTGGCGATGTGGCTTCTCTTTAGTATCAATGTCACTCGCACCCCACATTCTATCAAATTGCTCAATTCAAAATTTGGTAAAAATGGTTCAAGATTACTTAAATTTCAGTCAGTCCAAAAAGCTGTTAAATTTTGTAATTCTTGAAAGGATATCGCATTTGTCAACAAAATAAAAAATATTAAATAAAAATTTTATATCAATATTTTACATTACAAATTAATATCAGATTACTTTGTTTAAACAGAAAACATGTTTTAAACATATACAGGGTGATCAAACCTGTATATAATACATAGGTTGTCACTACAGTTAACGCTAATTGTGGGAAAAATCGTTGTTCCAATGTAACTATAGATTGTAGTTTATTTCATATATCGGGCTATAAAAATTTATTATTAATCATTATAAAATATATACGTTGCAGATGATGATGTTGTTTCGGTTCCAAGAACGGTGGGGTCTACGTCCCGGAGACACTTGTCGCCAGACGACCAAGTGCCGTTCAACGCCTCCCAAAAGGACTTCGCAAGCAAGTCATAGAGGAATACGACAACAACAACAAAAATATGTTCAAATTTTTTGTTTCTAATTCTCTAACGAAATCTAAAGACTTTTTTGCGGACTTGTATTTGCTTTACTTAAATAAATTTATCACATTTTGTGACACTAAATTTTATTGTTTTTTTTTTTTAATTATATATTAATTGGAGTCTGTTTAGTTGAAATCTGTACGTCATTTTTTCTTAGGTGTCTGGATTTTTAGCAAAAATGGGTTCGATTTTTGAAATAATGTATTTCATATCTTCATTAAACTTCCTACAATTAAATACCGAAACATGTGATTGTACTTATGACATCCCTCTCCAATATTTCTTCGTTCCCTTTGTTCCTGACAGATGAAATTTTTGAATAATGAATAATTTTTAGAAACAGCTTTTGTTCTACAGAATGTTTTCAGAAAATATTGAAAGAAGGGAAGAAATATTGAGAGGAAAGAATAGAAAACAGGGTTTAAGGTAAAAATTTTTGCCTAATTACTTATAGTCAATTAGCTGTAGATACGATATTGTCATATCTTAAAATAAAAAAATTTTATGAAGATTTTATGACCTTAATTTTTGAATTTTAATCGGTTACTGCCAAAGACTTAGATGTTTTGGTTAAAAATGGGTTGCAGGTTTGAACTATTCATATTTAAATTAATCCAAACTGATTGTATATTAATTATTATACGCTATACATTATGATTTATTCAAAAAAATAAAAAATTGATTTCAGTGTTAAAAAATATTAATAATTGTTAACAAAATTTGATTTCAATAAATTAGTAAGATTTGCATATAAATGCGTTCTCAGATTGGATGGGGTTGAGCGATAGTCCCAAGCAACAGAAAAGGTTGTGAAGGAGCGCCGCAATCGAATCAAAATAATATTTTAAAAAAGCCGGTTTGACTTTCAAGTCTACAAAAATATCGAATAACCGAGGCTAACTTCAGTCATTTATAAAACATTGCCATGATGAATCCGAACTGAATTCTTGTGAGTGGATCCAAAAAATTTTTTTAAATCGCTTTGTAGTTAAAAATCATTACAAATATTGCATTAGAAAGAGTAAGAATATATTATGGTAATTATCTACCCAGTAAATTAGTTTGATGCGTGAATAAAGCGCTCTTCTTGCCAATCTACTTCAGTGCAGCGCCTTCATGCCTTAATGGCTCTTGGTGCATATGTGTTGTAAAATGCACTGAAAGTGTTGTTTTTAAGTGCATTTAATAAGCCTCGAGCAGAACCAGAGTGAACCATCTACTCCTAATCATATTATTATGTAAAAACATGCGCTATGCTCAAGTAAAGCGATGTACTTTATTGCTTTTTCGGAGCACATTCATAGATGGCGCTACTAAAATGCTGAGCTGACTGTTGGGTATTTGAGCAAATTATTGGACTACGATCATAACTATTATTTGTATGCACAAATTATAAATAAAAGTTAAAATGAGAAAAGCTCTTGATTTCAATTTTCATCAACTAAAATATCAATTTTGGTGTAAGCTTTATGAAAGTTTGAGTTTTGAAACGGAAAAGTAGTTTTTCTTCCGGAAGGCGACATTAATTTTTTCAAAGGACGTCCCTATTCTTTTAAAACTAAAAGATTACAATCCAAAAACAACTTCTTTTTGGGTCAGTTGATTAAGATGTGCTGACACTGAGCTTCAAATTTGGCAGGGCACGAATTTAATACCTGGTACATCCAGTCTCAAAATATTATAGAATTTTTTCCAAGACCACTGATGATTAACATTTGACAATACTCGAAACGCTGTATATGCAGCCAAAAATTCAATTAATTAAAATAATATAAAATGAGTTTTTGTTGTTGTAGTTCACTACTGTTCGAAAAACCTTTTTATGATATGTATATATGAGTCCATCAACAATTAAATGCAAATAAATGTTGTTAATGTGTGTGTGTTTGAGGTTATGTGTATATTGAGTGTATTTTTAGATTTTAGTAAAAGATACATTTGCATTCGAAATTTTTCAAGTTCTCATTGAAATTTATTTACTTATTTAAAAATTTTTTTTTTGATATAATATTCAATTGTGATAAAAAAATATTTATTATATTTTTTTCTACTATATATTTCATCAAATCTTTACAATGGCGATTCCTCCTTTATCACAAATTATTCGAGAATCTATTGAGGAATCGCCAGGACGCTTATATTTTTTATTCATTGATATTATTTTGATATTTATTTTATTTTGTTATATTATTTATTATAAATGTGTGAATTACAGAGTAAGTGAAGTTCTTTTATTAAATTCTCATAAATATTGCAAAAATTTACAAATATTATAAAAATAAATATTAGGTTTCAAATACTAACTATTATCTATTTTATTTTAAGCGGAGACGTAATATACAAGCGAGAGGCCTCCGTCACGAGGATGATATTGGGCCTCTCGCTAGGCATGTACAACGACGTCCGCTGAGACGTCGTTACTAAACAGTGTCAAATAATATAACGGACGACGGGAGAGTGCGATGGGGAGTATGGTGGGACAAGTTGGCGAGGGGTGGGTCAGGATGATTGGTGGGTGGGATAGAATAAGGAAAGTGGTTGTGATGGTGTGGGATAGTATGGAAATGGTAAATACTGCGGATGGAATACGTATGTTTCTGTTTTTGTAGGTAATACACTCAAAGTTATCATAGAAGTTTTCGAAACTAAGTAATTTTTTTCATTTTTAGTGAAGAATCAGCTGAGGATGTTTGCTCTGTACAAGAAAAATTGAAACGAGCACAATAGACAAATAGGTAAAATTTTTTATTAAGGCACTTATCAAATTATACTATATTAAATAGTAAGCGGTTTAGAGTTTATAGTTTTGTATTCGTTTATTGGATCATTTATCCCCGTATGTGTGGATAGTGCAAAAATAGTAACAAAGCTTAATAATGATATATGAATATATATTTATATACCTTTTTACCTACACCTATTTATATATTTATACCTTCTTTATATATTTTAGAGATGTTATAAGCTTGCATATAGAAAATGAAGAGTTCATCACATCCTTCAATTACTTTAAATCAGCTTTTTAAATCACTCATTTTTGTATAATTTAATCAACTTACTCTCACCTAGAAGGAATGGTCACAACAATACCTTTTCAGATACATGCAGTAATTATATAAAATATTTTTCGACAATCGTAATATCCTATCTTATATAATGGATTAGTTATAAAACAGAGCGAAGAAGCAGAAAAGCGCAGGTCATATAAAAATTATACACAGAATACATAAGAGTATTGGATTAAAGTTCTCGGATGATATCGAAGAGAACGTTAGATGATTACTTTAATTTGTTATTGAGTTGCAGATTTTTTTTTTTTGGGGTATGACAATAAAAATGAAAAAAAATATATTTAATCATAAACTAAAGCCGTAGGAATAAAAGAAAATTGGAGCAAATTGAAATACATAGATCAATATTTGGGAATCACAGCATTAATTTACAGAAAATACGGAAGAAAGTGCGTAACTGCTTAGAGAATAGAAAAAAATTACTATTATTAATTTCCTGTGTTCTCGGAATTTTTTTCTCGGAATCCGCTTTTTCAATCTCTCAGAATCACACGCTGTTTTTAGCAGTTCGGCAGTGTTGGGTCTGGGTGTATTTGTATTCATCTTTCTATTGAGAGTTATGTGAAGGCCGTAGTATGCGCCCATGTTCTGCAGGAATTGCACAAATGTATATTTTTATATAAACTGAATACTTTTTGTAAAAAAAAGAAATTGTTTAATAAATTTATTTCTAAATCAACAAAATAGTCCTTTAAATCAAGACTTGAAGACTTTTGTTTTATACTGATGAGCTTAGTTATAGCCAAAGAGATTTGTATAAGTAACGATCATATATGAATAGAACTGCGATCAGTTGAAATAAGAGTTCATATAGAATCAGTTGTAAATAGAACCAATCAATCTGTGTTTGAAGAATAGTAGGAAGATCACTTAAAAAGGTTAAAGAAAAGTGTGTTGCGAACAAAGCGTTGAGAATATGAGAGAAAAAGCACGAGCAATTATCAGGAATCATCAAAAAATTATGCTGGGCTCGCTTTATGCTTTATGGATGTTAATTATTTTTTATAATGATGAAGCAGAAGAAAGGATAAGACATGATTATTGTGACATATATTATACAATAGTATTCTTCCTTATATTGCTGACTTAGTAAGTGCAACATATAAAGTAAATTTCATTAACCATATAGTGAGCTTCTTTGATTCTTAACTTACTTAAAAATAAAGTAAAAAAAATCGCCAAAAAATATATCGAATGTTATAAAAATAAATTTCCCACAAGGGAAATTAACAAAAATTGAAAAAATTGTCATATGTTTTATATGTAAAATGTTAACAAACAACAGCTGAGCTGTAAACAAACGTACTGAGATAGTAATTGTATTATAAAATCTTTGTTTTTATTAATTAACTCTGTAATAGACCCATAAAATATATATGCATATATAAATGATTTAGGTCGTGTGCGAGTTAGGCTAAGTTGCTTTCTAAATGAGGGAAATTCTAAGTTGTGTCGATAATGTATTGATGTGTCGATACGTGTTGATAAATGGCAAAATGTGTGCAGTG